AAAAAAAAAAAAAAATTTGTATGTACCTGGCAACCCAATAATTGCACCGGAAAAAACAAGGCAACCCAGAGTTTGCATATTCTATAAGCTATATACTTTCTATTAGTCTACAGCTTATTGCGCAAGAGAGTAAAAATTATTTTCATCCCATAATACGATGGGTGATGGTCGTACTATGGTGGGATCTTAGACTAAATAATATAATATTTGTCTCTATTTTTTAAATAATATTATATTTGGATGTAATCCATATGAATGATTCAATAGATCATTTTGTATCATTTCTATCTATAAAGATGAAACAGAAGCATTTTTGATTATTTTTCCAGGACACAAAGTATGGCAACACTGCTATTTGGGCACGATTCCAACTACTTTGGCGGTCGGGAAAAAAACAAGAATTTCGATATAAATGGGGTATGTACGGATAGGGGACTTCTCCAGAGGAGGAATATGCAAAAAAAATGTTGTTACCACTTAYATTTTTTTAAATATTCCCGATTAAAAATTCCATACACGGGGTAACCTAAGTAYTGTTCTATAATATTACCTAGTTGTTGTTTGATTAATAGGAAAAAATCTATGGAGCCAAAATCCATAAGCATGTTTATACTAATTTTAATTTGAAATATAATTTATAGACACACTTGTTCTTATTGGAACTAAGATTGCTTAATAAAGAATGAGGAATTATATCAAAAGAGAGAAATTCAGCGAATTTGCTTATTACTCGTATCATATGGCAGCGCTCCTTTTGATTACAATTGTTAGCACATAAATGATGCGCACTACGAGTGTAAAAAGTATTTATTTTATTTTATTTTATTTATTTAAATGAGAACTAATTATTAATAATTAATACACAAAGATTAAGCACTGGCTACTAGGGCCTTCGGCTATCTATTACCGTAGTTATGTCTAATTAAAATTAAGTGTAAAATTAATACTCAGTTTTTATTTGCTTATAATATTAAATGTTAATTATAAAAATATTTGTGCGCCTTAGAATAGGTCACACTTTAAGAACACACAATTATCTGTTGAACAACACGGATAAACCTAGCTGTTCACTTTGCAATCATGCAAACGACTCAGTTAACCACATCCTAAACGACTGCACCGCACTAGCACAAAAAAGGAAAACCATCTTTGGGAACAGGGAACCCTCTCGTCTCCTGAAAACACCAAATATTGACAACATCAATGCTATCAACAATTTTCATAAGATATGTAGGTTTTCTTAAGATTCTTAGGTAAAAATCTGCAAAAAGTGGAAAATGTGGATGTATTTAAATGTTTATAGTTTGATATACATAACTAACTTGAATGTGCGGATAGTGTGTTTAATGTGGTGAAATAGCTATTTAAAATGTTCGAATTTTGGGAATTTTTGAACTTTGAAATCGAATATCTCGCAAACTAAGCGTTTGTGGTACCATAATTAATAAGGAGGACTTCCTCTCTCCTACGGCGGCGAATTTAGTCTTGTTATTTATAAAAACAAAAACGTTAAAAATAAAATACGATAAATACTAACATTTAATCCTTCAAATTTTTATATTCGCACAGGTGAGAAATAGATGAGCTCATAATTTTTGTAAAACTAAGAACATTGTTCAACACTTCCTTGCCATTATAGGATTTTTCAAAGCTTTTATCAGCTTCACCTATTTGTTGGAATGAATGTAAGTATGTTTTTATGTTGCACTGAAAATAACAAAAACTACGCCTACAACTATGTAGTTCAAGCATCCACTCTCTATGCTGTCATTTGAATAATAAATTTACTCAAACACATCTTTGAATGGAAAACATCACGTGTGCCTTAGTAACAACCACGGTTCAAAAACCTAAAACCATGCTTTTCAAAATAAATGTAGTTAAATTTGTAGTGACCTTGTACAGTCTGTCTAATATATATATATGATATCTGTAAGGTAGCCTATAATAAATACTTACTGCCATTGTTAGGATCCCGACCTTCCGCTGCGGTCGAATCAGCATGTTAATATTTTTTTTCACATTCAGTGAAAGCTTTTGTTCACCGGAATCCATTAACCAAATCCTATTTAATGTTACACTTCGCACAAGATTTTTGAATCTTAAACGCGCCATTTTCTTTTTAACATCTCCTTCACCACGCCCTCGTTTCGTAGCCATTTTGCAAGTTTAATATGTAGTTTAAAATATATCTCCGTACTATATGTAATGTTTCTTTTTTACTATACACATATGTATATTGTATGTAAGACAATACAAAAATTTCAATATATAATAATTATAAATCCCATTGATTGTTTTATTCATATAAATATGTGCATATATTTCAGTTTGATATATTTTTCACAACAACCAAGTCACAGGCACGAAGCCAGTGGATGATGATTTACGTATACTACTTTACATGTTGGGTAAGATATTACTTACGGGTTCCCAGTAATTAACGCAAGTATTACCCGATAGGTTACGTATGTATGCACTACACTCAGATAAACTTTAACTACTATTTCTCTTCTCAGCCATCGACTATCTCTCAYGCCGATAATATTTTTCTAATTACTTACTACTTATTAATATATTATACAATTTTTCTAATTACTTCCGTTACTTAATTCGAACTTACCGCTCGCGAGTACTTTCTCTCCCTTTCATTACTCGTTTGTACATTGCTCACTAGTTTTTCAAATCATAAACTTCATTAATTACACGTGTACAATGGCTCCGACACCATCAAATATCAGGAATAATTACTCCGCCATAATTAATACGAGACCTAAAAACAAAACGTAAACCCCAGTAACCAGTGCCGGATTAGCTACATTGCAAGAGTAACAAATATTACGGGCCCCGCGCTCCAACTGACCGTAATTAAAAAATATCAATTTATATGGAGCGCAAATTATCCTTGCATTAAAATATGACTGATACAACACTGCGTGGTATGTTTCTTGAGTTCGCTATCTGCTGTATCTGAGTTCTATCTGCTGTATTTGTTTACAAATACAAAACTGCGGGGTATGTTTCTTCGTCACCTGGCAAAGTATAAATATTTGTATTTAATGAAGAAATGTATGCAAATACTCACTTGATTCAATTCCTAATAGAGCCAATGCATGATTTTCACATAAAGAAGCTATAATTTTATTTTTCTGACTTTCTCGTGGCATTTCTGTCTTCTTTATTTTTCACTATCAGCTGATTAAGTGTAGAAATATGAAAACAAATATGACATACAACAGTGGAGGGTGCTCACAAGTGTCGTATTTTTTAAGAATATTAAAATATGACATAAGACATACAACAAAGCTTGTGAATTGCCTAATTATTTTATATCATAACGCTGCCCTCTTAACAGGGCAAAATTTTTTAGTTCAGTCCAGCCTTAAGAGCAAGGTGTTTCAGAGTCTCAAGTCATATTCCATCTGCCATTTGGACCATTGGAATGATTTGTTAAGTTCTTGGGCATTGAAGGTCATACTGCTGAACAATTCGCTCTAAGGTGACCAGTTTTCTTAAGTGAGAGTGGCATTAATATCAAAGATTGTCGTGGGTAAAGCTATTATAATGCCAGCAACAAGAGTGGGAAATACATCAGTTTATAAGCCAGAATTAAGAAAATAAATAAGTATGCAGAATATATAGATATAATAGGAAGTCTCTTGCACATTCATTAAATTCGGTTGCTAAGTGCCAGACTGCTGTATAGAAGCATTACTTTTCTTCGATTTCATTGAAAACGTCTATACATTTTTTCAGCTATTACCTATCGCTATGGACGTCTTACGAACGCACTTAAAGGTTCTACTTAAAAAAKTCCGATTTTGAAACGGTTATCGGACAGTAGGTGGTCAGCCCGAGCTGATGCTACGAAGGCACTTTTATGTGATTTTGTCACTATTAAGCAAGTATTGGAAGACATTCTCTATAAAGTGGATCAAAAAGCGGAGTGTCTTAATAAAGCTTACGGACTACTTTCAACGATGAATAAGTTAGAAACGACAATTACGTCGAACGAAATCTTAGAACGCTTGCAAGCGACTAGTGCTTCGCTGCAGTCGTCTGATCAAGACCTTAACATAGGGATACGCCCTTTATGAATCATTATATGGCTACGTCCAAGCAATGAGATCGATTTTTTCAGATATTAAGGCAAGATTCAAAGATCAGACCTACTGTGAAGAATACCTTACAACAGAAGAGATTTTGGAAAAATCCTCTAGTGTGGTCAGTGTTTACGAAAATTATTTGGAGAACAGCGTAGGCGGTGGATTAGTGCAGTTTGCAGAGCTGCTGAAAACAGATGTGGCTACTGTTATTGACAGCAAGAAACAGGAACCTCTGGAACAGCAATATTATAAACTTTTATTAAATAATTCTTTAGAATTGTGTGTYCCAAACTTCGAAATTGCTTTGCGAATTTACTTATCTCTCATGATCACTAACTGCAGCGGCGAATGTTCTTTTTCAACATTAAAACGTATTAAAAATGAATTAAAGAACACGATGGGTAAAGAACGTCTTAGTCATATCACTTTGTTGAATATAGAGCATGACTTGCTTAAAGAAGTCGATATTGAAAGTATTATCTCTAAATTTGCCTATAATAAATCCAGAAATGTTATTTGTAACAACTTTATTTTATTTAGTACACTAAACTTGAGAACCTATAGCAAACCAAGGGCCAATTGACAGAATTTGCTACAGGCCCCACGCTAGTTTAATCCGGCACTGGCTCTGTATAAAGGAACTGTGAGACGGAATTTCAAACTCCTTACGTACAGCTGCAACCGAAACCATTGGTTTTCGGAAAATTTAAAAGAGCAGCTGGTACGACGAGGAGTTCCGTGTGGCAGCGGAAATAAAACAGACTGCCTAGCGAGACGCATTTGCAGACCGAAAAGAAGAGTCCGAACCACCGCGAAAGACAACAATTACTAAAAACAGTTAAGTCTTCATGACAAATAATGCAGTAAATCAATGAAGAATATGGATTAAATATATGTTGTTGTTGTTGTTGTAACGGCAGAATTCTGCCGAGTTGACAGTCCTTGGCCGGATAAAAATCCGGATCCGTTCCGGTTTTCGTAGACCCGACTGTCGTGGGAACGGGGATTAAATATATCGTGGAAGACGCTTAAACGAAGCACAACTTTG